TAAAGCAGATGAGCCCCACACCACAGCCTTCCCCCAAGCATTTCAGCAAGCTTCAAACTAAAGAACCTCACCCCTGCCATCCGGGCCTGGGAATACACTCACCTCCCATTTGCTCCCCAAACCTCCATCTCCTCATCAGAGAATCAGAGGGTTCACAGAGGCCACAGCTGGGTGAAAACAAGTGGTTTTTCATTCCTTCACATATCGGATGACATTTCTTGTTTGTTTTCTTGTTGTTGCTGTAATTGAGGAAACTCATCATAGAAATTGGCCTGGAAACAGGAGTTAAAAAACTGAAGGAGCATAAGAGGGCTAGGAGGAGAGGAAAGAGGAAAGGGAGGAGGGGCAATGGAGCAAGAGGAGGGGAAGAAAGGAGAAGGAAATCAAGGAAGAGGAGAGGCAGCTGCCAGCATCAAGGTGAGAAGAGTGAGACAGAAAATGAAAGACTCTGCCAGTAAGAAGAAGGGGTCACAGTGGCTATTTCTGGTGTGTAAAGCATTCCTTTAGCGTGGTTATGCGGAGGGCATTTGCGCTGTGACCTGCGGGAAGAAGTGATTTAATACGAACAGCCTTCCTTTAGCTTCAGAAGGGGAGGATCACATGTGAAGGTGGTGAAGACATTGCTGAGGGGTGCTTTCTTCTCTTGGGGAGCTTTGTGAATAGGCTGAAGAATAAGCCAAAGAGCAATGTGGGAGTCTACTGCCAACTACAGGAGAGCAGTATGAGGCCACAGCATCGCAACTCTACTGTCCTATATAGCCTTGGTACTATCCCACGATACTGCAGGCATACTGTCTTGAGCACCCCTTCAGTGATCCATTTTGGGGGGCAATCACCTTACACCCTCCCTCATTAGTCTTCCCTTAAGTCCTCCTTTGTGAGTTCCCTCAGGCTCTCTATCCTGGAGAATGCTTTTAAACCTTCTGTTCTGCGGCGTTCCTCCATCCCTCAAGCCCCCAACCCCCCATCCTGGCAGTGTCTTAAAACCTCCACCATCAGGCGCTTTTCAGGCCCACCCCCATGAAGTACACCTCATGTCTTTCATCACAGGGATACTCTCAGACCTGCCATCCTGGGGCACCCCTCACATTTGTCATCTTCGGGCACTGCCCGGATCCTTCATCTGGACCGCCTCCTCAATCCTCCTAGGTATTTCTTTCTGGGACCTTTCTCAGACCCACCATCCTGGGGTACTTCCCAGACCTTCCATCTTTGGACATCCTTTAGGGCCCCCATCACTGGGCATCTTCCAGGCCCTCTGTTCTGGAGTATCCTTTAATACCTCTATTATGGGAATTGATGCATGATTAATAAAAACTCAGAGAGAGAAAATGGGGTTTTATCTGAAGATCTGAAAAGCAAAGCAGCTAGCCACTGGCTCTTACTTCCTCAGTCTGAAATGGTGAACTTGCCTCTAGGAATCTCAGAATGAGACTGTGTCTGGGAGCTGTCTCCTCCCATTTTATAATCCTCTCTAGTTCTGGGATTAAAGGCACGCACTACTACCGCCATAGCTTTTCTATGGAAAGCTAGTGTGGTTACTGAGATTAAAGGTGTGTGTTATTGCTGCCTGGTTTATAAGGCTGGACAGTGTGGCTATTTTACTTTTCTGATCCTCAGGCGAATTTTATTTATTAAAATACAAGTGAAATGACACTACAGGGAGTCACGTATGTTTTTTTTTTTTTTTTTCCTAGGCTTGGAGTATCTTGAAGAAGGAGGCATCCAGGTCCAAGCTGAAGCTAGGCATTGCCTATGACCCCAGTAAATATCCACTCCTAAGACACCAGCGCCGCTGTCCTGCCAAAGACGGTGTAAGGGCTATTCTTGGTTGTCAACTTGACTACACCTGGGATTAACTAAATCCCCAAACTGGAGGAGCACAGCTGTGAGGTATTTTTGTTTAATTTGTGGGGAGATCCACTTCTAATCTGGACCTCTGAAGTGGGAAGACACCTTTAAAGCAGATATTTAGAGGTGAGAAGACCCACCTCTAATCTGGGCCACACCTTCTGAAGGAAGTCTAAATAAGCATATGGAGAAAGGGAGTTTTCGCTCTTTGACTGATTGCTTTTGCCTTACTAGCAAGTTCGATCCTTAATTGGCATTAGAGACTACTTCTTCAGGATTCTGGCAAATAGTGAAGACCAGCTGAGACATCCAGGATCATGAACTGAGCAACTACTGGGTTCTTAGACCTGCCATTCATAGGCAGCCATTGCTGGATTAGCTGGACTATAGCCTATATATCATTCTAATAAATCCTCTTTGTCTGTCTGTATGTATGTATCTATCATTTATCTATATTTATATCTATATGGACAGGACCTGTGGAGGACCTAGAACCGGGAAGCTATAAACTCCCAGGCCCATGAGGCAGATGCAGTGGGTATAGCATGAAGTTCTCACACTCCCATATCCCTTCAAAGTCCCACTGACCACATGGAGATGTCCAGCAATTACAGAAAAGTGAGTGCTCTTATGGCAGGGAGTACTGGGGTAAAGGAGTGGAGGACAGGGCAGAACCTAAGGGAAAAAGCCCTCGAGTATTGGTTACTTTTGCCATTGCTGACGCAAAGTACCCGACAGTGATCGCTTAAGGAAGGAAGGCTCTGTGGTAGCTCACTGTTTAAAAAGGGAGCCGTCTACTATGGCTGGGAAAGCAGAGAGTTGGGTAGTAGGTGACTGGCCCTGCCTGGTTCATCTGTTTGCAGTCCGGGAAGCACAGGGTAGATAAAGAGTAGGGCTTTGCCTTAAAGCCTCCAGCTCCCTTCACCAGCACATAGTACATGACATACCTTCCCTAAAGAAATCCTCTCTCCTAAAGGCTCTATAGTCTTCCAAAACCAGCACTTACACCTGGAAGTCAAGTGTTCAAACACATGAACTTACACGGGCATTTCACATTCAAATACAGCATGTGGGCTGGCTCCAGGTCACAACACACCTCACTGCCTTGTGGCTTCAGACATCACTCTCAGTTTAATCTGTGATATTAGAATAATACTTCTGGGTTCACCAAACAACTTTAGGGCAGGAGAAATATAAACGTACATCACATTAGCAAGGCAGGCCATGGTGATGTAGAAAAGTCATGTGGACCAACTACAGGGAGGGAGGTTAAAATCCCAGCGAGGAAAGTGCCTAAGCGTCTTCAGGTATGAGAAGCTGTAAAGATTTTGATAAATGTGTGTAAATCAGCTATTCCTTTCAACGTGAGGTTTTCAGTTATTAAAGCAAGCCTCTCGGAGAACCCCTTGACATATAAGCTAATTGCAAAGGAGCAGAAGCACTTGAAAGCAATAATGTTATACCAAAATATTTGACAACTCAGGACTTTTCCCCACTCTTGATCCCAACTAGGAGGTATTATTAAACTCAGTTCATCTAATTCCCCAACCCACCAACTGCATTAATTTACACACGATAAATATTTTAAATATACTTTGAGCATCTACACAGGCAAATCAGGATTTCCATTTTGACAGCAAGGTGGTAATGATTAAGGCTTTAGTCAGATTTATCTTATGAGCACTTTTCAAGAGGATGGAAGCTAGAATCCATTTCTCCTATATAATTGACCATTCATTTAAATCTTCTGACTGAATTATTCTAGTGTTAGCTTCTGGTGTCAGACTACATTTCCTCAAATTCTTCTAATTGGCTTCCTGAAATTGTCTTTACAACTTACATGAGCAGAAAATTTGAATAAAGAGGCTTTTAACAAGTTAGTCCCTCCTGATTTCAAGATTTTCTTATTTTTATTTAATGTATATGAGTGTCTCTCTGTCTGTATGTATGTATGTTTATGTATATGTGTATACTCTGTATGTGCAAGACCCACAGAGGTCATATGGGATCCCCTAGAGACTCAGTTACTTTGTAGGGAATTCCTTCCTTTCTCTTCTCAGTTGTGAGGAAGGACTTCCGAACTATAGATTAATGTGGCACTTGGTACCTGTAAGTGTGGCTAAGGCACCACTCAGTACCCACATGACACACTAATGTTCCTGAGTGTCCACTCTGCTGTCTCCATCAGGGCCTTCCTCAGATCTCAGGTTGCTGAGAGGTGAACTCCACTTGCTGCTTAGGCTGAAGAACAATTACCCTTCTGGGCTGGATTTGAGAAAGAATATGTCTAAGGTAAGCTATATTCAGAAACGTGTCTGAGGTGGTTCTGTTGAAGCCTGTCCCCCAGCTTTCCAATTCTGTTTAGTTACTGAGGAATAAAATTAATTCTTCCTCAGGTTAATGAAAGGTTGTGCCAAGTCTGCTTTTAGCCTTCTTGCCAAAGTCGGCTATTAGACTTTGGGCTTGGGATGCAGTATGCCATGGAAAACGAGGGTAGAATTATTTCCTCCCCTGCTTCAAAACAGGGTGGCTTGGATGTCTGGGTGGGTGGGGACCACCACAATATTCTCAACTGGACATTACTACATTGAGAAGTCCTTTCTGAAAGTTGAGGACATAATCCCCCTTCCAATCCACATCAGAACACTCCCCTCTACTAAAAAAGGGGACTGTTTGTTGTGAAATACGCAGACTGCTGTGTGGCCTGCATGTCCCCAAGTTTGGGATAAGAAATAACAAAGAGTTTTAATATTTAAAAAAAATCCTATTCACTTACCCAAGTATGTGTGAGTGAGCATAGCATTTGTGTAGAGGTCAGAGAACAACTAGAATTTGGATCTAGATGGAGCTTTAAAAATTACAGTATGCATTTGTTTTGTCATTGTGTGTAGGAGGGAGGGTTAGAACAGACTGGCCAGTCTCAGGAAAGCCTCTGATGTGAGTGTGGAGAGAAGCCAAACTGTCTGCATTTAACAGAGCGTGGCCTGTAGGATTTGTGATAAGTTAAGTCTTGTTCATCAGGATGCCGTTTTCTTGCTTGCCATGACGTGGTTATGTCACTGTTGGCAGCTGTGTAGTGAACAGGACACAGGAAGAAAAAACTCTTGTTACCACATGGCAATTCAAGCCAGAAGCAACGGCTGTGTGAAATCTGTATTTTATTCCAGAACACCTGAATGACAGGTTGTTCAACCTTTGGGATCATGTTGATGCTGACAGGAAGATGGGTCTTGTGAGAATCTCTGTGATTCCTGAGCCCGTAGCTGCTCCACACAATGAAGCTGGTACCTTGAGGGGAATAAGGCAAAAGAGCCAGGTTACTTCAAGGGACCACCGGGGTCACGGCCTGTACCGTAAACTGAGTTGTTGTCCCCTGAAGACTCAGGTGGTAAGGGCTTAGTTCTCACTGGTGCTTCTGAAAGTGCTAGAACCTTTAAGAGCTGGGGCCTAGGGGTATGCCCCGGAAGGAGGTAGGAGACCCAGCGCCTTCGTCTTTGTGTGTCTTTTGCATCTTACTGTTGTGTGACACAGTTCCTGGGGAGATGTGAGCAAATACATCATCCTAGGTAGGAAACCGAGGTCAGACCAAAACATGAACACCACCAGTCTAACTTGGTGAAGCAATGAGCTTTGCTGGAGCTACTCCTAGGGATGTGGGTGAGGGGTTACTTACAGGGAAAGAAATGACTCAAAGACAGCTGCACCACCAAAGCCTACCCTAGTATGAGACAGATCACAAGAGCTGGAACTCTGGAGCACACAGCACAGTCTGCCGCCAGCTCAACAGGTTGGAGAATATTCCTTTTCAGTGGCTCAGCTGGTCTGCACCTCTTTAACGAAGCTTGGCTGGCTGTTGTTTCCCATAAGCAGTTGGGCTGGTCTCTGCTCCTTCCATGCTGCTTGATGTGAGCCTCTTCTGAGAAACTCAGCTTGTCTGAGAATAAGTCTCAGCAGCCTTTATTCAAGAAGGAGGGGCTTAGTGAGTCTGGTCGGTTTCGGGGACTTCTTGAAGCTATTTTGAGTTGTCCGCTTCCTGTCTTAATGGGCATCCTGTAGGATGGGGTGTGTCACTTTCCCCCAGGACATCATGTTATTTCACTGCCCTTTTCACATTCTATTTTTAAAAAGTTTCCATCCAAATTGGGAAGTTTTAACGTAGGAGGAAGCAGAAACATAGGAGTTACACAAAATCTGCCACAAGTCCCCCAAAACAACAAGCCAATGGGCCACTGGCTGAAACCTCTGAAACCATGAACCACAGTGACTCTTTCTTTTCTCAGGTTATTATTACCTTGTAATAACCACAAGCTAACGCAGCCTGGCTATGAGGGAGGGGTCAGGGCAGCACCCTGCACAACAGTCATTAGTGACATGGAAGCTGAAGGTGGGAGGGCAGGCAGCAACACAGGGAGGGGCTCTGGGAGAGGTGGGATGAGTTCCAAGTGGGGCTGTGGACTTTAACTAATTAATTTCCTTGAATAAGAGATCAAGAACCTGGAAACGCTAAGCCCAAACACCAGCAACAAAATGGTGTAAAAACCTAGTTGTCAAAAAGGATGTGATTGTAGCCTTTGTGTGCAAGCAGAGGCCTGCACATGTGTGCATATATGCATGCATGTGTGCGTGTGTACACGTGTGAATGGATACGGTTTATTCCTGTGTGTCTGCATGCGTGTGTGTAATCCAGACAACCATTCTTTGCCTGGCTTTTTATGCGGGTGTTGAGGATTCAAACTCAGGTCCCCAGGTTTGCAAGTAACTGCCTGAGTCGTCTCCCCAGCCCTGACCTTAGCTTCAATTCACAGATTTGGAAGTAGTTAAGAGCGCAGGATTTGTGTGATCGCCACTGCTGGCAATCTCTGTATCCGAACTGTACTGCTCTTATCCTCGTCTCTCTGAACAGTCACCTGGCCACGGAGACACATCTGGGCCTCATGAAAGCCTGAAAGCTTCCCTTACCACAAGAAAACGTGGTTTCTGTGGCCTCTTTATCAGTGGCTTACCCATAAAAGGTTCACTTAAGTTCCTGTAAGTTCCTGCCAAAAGTGACGTGTTTGGGCCTCTTTCCTGAGTTTGTTAACTCCTGTGTGTGTGGGGGGAGGGACGGGGGGGGTGTTGAATGTGAGTACCTTCAAGTGTTCCCATTTAAAGCTGGTCCCAGGGAGACAGATCTTCTCTCTAGGGTTGGATTTAGAAGATAACATTGCTAGTGTTTTATATTGCGTATGCATTATTCATGTGGGTTTACCTACTAGAGAGAATATTAATTGGCTAGCATAGCAAAAGAGTGAAATTTCATGACAAAATGGCTTCTGTAAAACCATGTTTGTGAGTCATTGCCTGCAGCAAGATTGGCCAGTCCTGGTGATCACACGAGCTTAGAAGGCAAGACTATCTATTCACAGGTCACGGAATCACAGTCATGTCCCTGGATACAGAAAGAGCCTTGAGACCAGACCTAGGCCACTGGATGTTGGCATGGGAACCCAACCGTTGTGAAGATACTGTGGGGAGGCTGTGACCAACCAGAGCATTCCTGAAAGAAAGTGTGCCCCCAGGCTCTGGCTAAACAGGACTTAGCTCTCTCAGAAAAGGCTAACAATGCTGTCTACAAACCAGCAGCTTCTGGCCTTGCACCATCAGGGTACCAAAATCCTCATCTAGAGGGCTCAGTGTTCAAAGAGACGCAAAAGAGGTGCGTGAGCCACACTGCTGCTGGCGGACCGCTCCACCCTAATTAATAGCGTCAGTGACACCGTCTACCAGAAAGCATCACACACTGGAAGCACACTCCGAGCAAGCCCTAAGCCTAGACAGAAGAACACACAATGGAACACACTGAGATTTCACCTCTGGGTGCCAAAGTGTCCACAGAGCACCAACAGTACGGTGCTTTCAAAATCAGCTCACGTTATTCTCAACTATACACCACTAATCACAAAATCAACACTAATTATCCAGACAAAGCTTTCCCACAACTGAAAAAAAAAAATCCATTCAACACGCCACAGGGGAAAACAGACAGGATTTGTTCACTTATTTATCCAAACAAGTTTTTTTTTTTTGAATCAGTGACTCATCTATAGCATAGATATTCCATGGAAAGAGGTGGAAATCAGGAATCTGATCTGTCTTGACTGTATCAGGTCATTAATATTTATGTGGAATTGTTTAAATTCAGAAGTTGCAAAAATGACTCTTAGATGCTACAATCAGCATATTAAATATTCATATGGGAACACAGATAGAGATAGGGGAGGGGAGAGAGAAGCAGGAAGAAAAGCAGTGAGGGAGAGAGAGGGGGGGGTCGGGAGAGGGCTCACAGCTGATGCCTGTTGAGTTGAATGCAGTCTCTTGACGCAGGTATGACATGTCCACCTGACACACTGTCCCCTCCGCCGGGCTTTTCAATGAAGCAGCCGCGCTGTCCTTGATTCGGCCTGTGTTTACAGGCCACCGCAGCTCCCTCACTGTCCCCTGTGCTCTTGTGTCACTTGCCTGGGGACGCTGAGGTAAGCCAGTCTTTCTATCTGCTCTGTCCTTGTCTGCAGTCTCCTGGTGTGGTCCTGTCTCCTGTTCCCCAACTGTCTCAGTGCTGGGGCACTTTCTCTTCCCATTACAGCAATCTCCTAGCTCTCAGAAGACAATCTCCCCAACTCCCTGCCTGGAGAGCTGTGGCTCTCAGGTGCAAAATTAAAGCTTGAGCTGATGAAATCGGCTAGCGCTTATGGGGTGCACTCAGCCATAGGATCCAATTTACTCTAAACCTAGTGACGCTGAAGAGTAATAAACTCGAGGTCAGAAAAGGCAGACAGCGAAGTGCAAAGGGCATTGCCCCCGAAGACCTGTGACTGTTACGTATACCATCCAGTGTGGGAAGCCCATGGCCTCCAGATTCACGTGATTCTCAAGTTCTAAGCCACAATATTGAACAAAGAAATAAATATTTCTAAGCCTGTCTTTGTGCCCGGGCTTAGAGAGGTCAATCTATACATATGCCTTTTTTTTTTTTCCCCAAGAGAAAGGCAAATAGGCGATAGTTTCTGAAAACAGCCTGTCAGTTTTGGTTTAGATGACGGAAGGGGGGCCAAGGCAAATAATCCTAGTAGTCAAAGGAGCACCATGGAGTGAGGCGAGGTGCTAACAAACCGGGCGGCTGGCTCTCAGCATCCATCTCCAGCAGGGCCGGGCAGTGCCTGACCAGGGTCTCTGCTCTTTTCCCCATGAAAAAAGACACCCTGGGTAAGACAATGTCAGCAAACTATGTTTCTCTCCACTGCTGCTTGATGCTGTGCTTGCAGGGGAATTCCCCCTGGCTTTAAATGCTGTGCCCATTAGGGACAATTCTAGTTTGTCTAGAGGGCTCTCAGGTCCCACCTGTCTTCTTAGCTTGGAGTCAGTCGGCTTTCTACTACATACGGTGTGCCTTCTCAGGTCAGCCTCCTACTTTAATCGCCTCTGTCTTATTTCCAGGAAGGAACTGGAGGGCCAAGGGCTTAGCTCATTTAGGAATAGTTTCACCTGACCGCAACAGCCTACTCCTTCCTGGAGAACAGTTTAGAGAACACACTGGCTCTGCCTCTAAAGCTCATGAGGCCTCGGTGGTGTGAGTGCTGGCTGCCCATTGTGTTTCACTCAGAGCACGGGGTGGCTGGATTGGCTCTTTGCTGTAGCCAGCCCTGCCCAACTATGTCTGACACCCTTAGGTGACACTGTACTTGGATCTCTACATCTGCTACAAACAACTGCATTGAGTGAGCAGGCACAAGGGGCCAGACCTGGCTTGCTGTTTCTCTGTATTACTGAACTTCTTCTTCCTTGGCTTTTGAATGAGAATTACCAGGGAATGCCAAATATCTTACATGATTCAGCCCCAGTAGATGGCACTCGGTTATCCATGCAAATTTAAGCAACACAGCTTAAATTTCAATTAGCACCAAAAGGGATGGGAGTTTGAGCAATAGATAATTGAAATCCATCATGAGGATTCACCAATTCACCAGTCTAAATTCAAATACTGATACTGGAAAAGGAGGATATTATTCATTTGAATAATTTAAAGAGACAGAAATGCAGACTCCTGCTTTGGGTAATGGCAGACTAGTAGTCTTTCAACAGATGGTGTCTAAAAATTTTGTAGAGAAAATAAAAGCTATTTTAGTAAGCATCAAAGAAATAAGATGAATGGTTATAAGACCAAGATTAAGGAGAGGCCAGGAAACTAGAAGAATGATCAAAACGTGTGGGAACACTGTTGTGTCATCCATAGAGGTGCTCAGGAAGGTGTT